GATACAACTCGAGAAGGGGAGTAGAGCTGAATTCTCCTCCAGGATCAGACCGGACTACATGAACAGTTCTATCGAATTGGGTTTGAATCATTTTAAGAAACTCAGTAGCTATGGCTCTAAGATCAGATTTTTGACGCAAACAATAGACCCACGTATATCTGGTAGCATGATCAACAAAGAGGGCAAAATACTTATAACCATGACGAGAAGTAACAGGACTGGGACCCCACAAGTCTGTGTGAATCAAATGAAAAGGTTCACTAATGATGGTTTGACTCGAAGGGAAAGAAATTCGAGTAGTTTTCGCCTCCACACAGCTTGTGCAAGAAAAATCGGACAAATGAGGCACATTATTCCCAAATAACTGTTTCTTGAACATAGTACCTAACCGAGAAGAATTTGGATGTCCCAACCGGGCATGCCATAACTGAAAATTACGGTCACCGAGACTCGAAAAAACAGACCTAGACACCGAAGGACTTGAACGACACGAGACTGCAGACGATGACGAAGATGATGGAAGCTTGCCGAGTTGCTCCAAGTAGTAGATCCGCCCACTCTTGCTACCCCTGCCTATCTCCCGCCCCGTCTTCAGATCCTGAACAGAGCACCCAGACGGTGCAAAGACAACACGACAACCACTCTCAGTTAGTTGTCCAACAGAGATCAAACTTGGCACAAGTTTCGGAACATAGTACGTGTGAGGTAACTCCAAATTTTGTTCTCTAATTGTCCCCATTCCCGCAACCGGTATACGTGATCCATTTGCTACTTGTAATGAAACACCATTAACTGGAGATAATTGTGACAGGCTAGATATGCTATTCGTCATGTGATTAAAGCATGCCGAATCAAGAATCCAGCGAGGAGACTTACCGGAGACTTGCATACTAGCAAATGCCGAGGTGATGGCCTTATTGACGAGCTGCTCGAGATGCGCTGAAGTCACCATGATTCCTTCAGTTCCCGGAGCCGCCTCCGTGACATATGCCGGTCGAGAATCATGGCCAGCCGCTGCTGTTGGAGAACGCCACTGGCCTGCATGACGAGGAGCGCCCTGCGACGAGCTGCTGCTACCGCCGTTACCGCTGCCGTGAGCTGGACGCGGAGGTGCGACTGGACATTCAGGGACTATGTGACCTGTTTGCTTACAGTAGACGCAGAAGTTCCGGCGTCTACAGTACTTCTTGGTATGCCCTTTGGCATGACAGTGGAAGCACTCCACTTCACGGCGCGCCGTCGACGGAGACCTGTAGGCAGCAAAAGCAGAATCCCCAGCTTCAGAATTGTCGCCGCCCTTCCCAGCAGAATTCCCAGCTGCAAAAACCGAGGGTTCGCCATTACCAGGTCGCGCATCAATCCCGGCTTGAGTACGAAGCCGAGTTTCTTCTCGGATAAGTGCACTGAGGACTTGTTCCAATTGGAGACCCTCGCGATTAAGCAAGGTGGATCGCACAGCCTCATATTCCGGCTTCAACCGTGCCAAGAATTGAAGGGTGCGAGTTTTTGTTTTCTCCGCCCTTACCTCGGCTGACGCAGCGCCGGAGAGCAGTGCCGCCGAGAGGAGATCCTGCTCTGTCCATAAGAGTTTTGCCGCATTATAATAGGTAGCAATATCTTTGTCTCCCTGATACAGATTGCCCAGCTCCACCTCAATTTCGAACTGGCGAGCAACGCTCGTCGTAGCATACGTATCCCGTAACGCCGCCCACATCTCAGCTGATGTGGGAAGAAGACGCAGCCCCAAAACGATGGATGGATCCACCGATTTCAGAATCCATGATCTAACCCTTGCATCCGATTGCATCCACTTGGTTACCTCTTGATCGGTGGAAGGAGGAACAAGTGGTTTCGTTGTAGTGCCTTCCAGAAACCCGAAGAACCCTTGTCCTTCGATGAACGTCCGAAATTGAAACTCCCATAAAGCGTAGTTCTTCGAGTTGAGACGTGCATTGATGCTGTCCGAGTCCATAGGCTCTGATACCATGTTGATCGTTGCGTAGAGAAAATCAAAAAGAACTTAGAACGAGAAGACACGGGATTTACGTGGTTTCCTTGTTCGATAGGGATCGAACAAGACTAGTCCACGGGAGGGTCGTAGCTTTCTTATTTCACTTAATCACCAACGTTTCCTGTACATTGCATATATATACACTCGGCATCACCATTAACCCTAGCCGATCCTATTTTGACCTAATGGGCCAAGCCCTTCAACATAACAAGGCTTTTGGCCTTTAGGCCGTATCATAATACTCAACACTATAACACTAAAATATATATACCTTCGGAATCTACTTTTTTCTTTCAAATCAAGAAGGCTCCTGGGAAGCTGTTGGACGCTACTTTTGTTGACCGTGGATGCCGTCCCAAAGATACTTCCTGACCACCAGCACATTCAGGGGCGGAGCTACTTAGAGGATAGGCCCATCCGAGAATAGTCTCGGCCCCTACGACTGTAAGGATATTTAGATAAAAGTTGAATAAGTAGTACTCGGCCTATACATAGTCTCATGAATAGTCATGTGGTCTACTGATAGCTAAGCTAATTTTTAGTTTGAAGTAAACAGGTTCGATCCACAACAATTGTAAACCCATTCCTTGTTTTTTTTTTGTTACTTTAATCCAACTACAAATGAAAAAAAATCAACCTCTACTTAGTTCATTTGGGAATTTTAGCTCTCTATAGAAACTATATGATCTTTTTTTTTATCTATGTCGGGATCAATAGAAATATGATTGTCCAAGGAATTCTATTTTGTAGATAGGTTGATTTGTCTTCTTCAAACTCTTCCAGTTTTTCACTGCTACATGTGATCTTGCATATTTTTAGGTATAAAGATAGTGAAGAATAGATTGCGAAACAAAATAAATGATGAGTTTCTTGTTAATGATTTAGTTATTTATATTGAAAGAAAGATAACTAAAATTTTTAGTTTAGATGCTGTTTTGTGATATTTCAATGATCTCAAAGGATGTTTGTATACTTTAAAAATAATTAAAATAATTTTTTACTTTTATTTACATTTAACTATTTTCGGCCCACCCGGTCTCAAAATCCTGGCTCCGCCCCTGAGCACATTGGTTTCTGCGACGAAAGGTATCAGCTCGGCCTTGTCCCAAAAATATACAGTCGCCAAAGGGTCGGAGCTTCAAAACCAATATTGTCAGATCCGAATCGGAACATCACCCAGTATCGTGAATGGTTCATACTTTAGTAGTTCAACTAGTATTAGAATATTAAAAAACCATTAGAGAATTGATACCTTATTATCGGTAAGATCATAAATAGAAGACATATAAAGTAATAATTAAACAATTTTATGGCTAAAATGAAATAAACTTTGCAAGTATCATTTAGTCATTTGATAATTAGAATATATAAAGCGCCTAATTGCTTAAGAGGTTTAGTCGGGCGCGGACGCGTTCACTGTAATTATGAATTTTTTATTTTAGACATTCTAACTCAGTGTTATTTTATAATAAAACTGTGTATAACGAGAAAAATGATTCATATGAACATATTCAAATCACTATTCTAAATTTGGCTTAGAAATTATAGCTCCAATGATTCTGGTCTAACAAATAAACAACGAAACCTAAAAGACTAAAAGAAATATGAGGTTTGTTCCCTTGAAAATTTAATAAAGCAGCTGGTGGAAATAGGATAGACGCACAATTGATTTGTAGATTGATTAGTCTAGTCTTGACGTTGCCCCTTTCAACAACTACTACGTAGAGAACCTTTTCAACAATGAAACATGTGAAATCTGATTTGCGTGCCTTAATGAGCAATGAGTTTCTCGCCTGTTGCTTAACAGTTTATTTGAAAGAGAGTATTCTATTTTTATGTACGTAGACTCCATTATCGATAAATTCGCTAATAAAAACACCGTCGTGTACAATTGACATTGTATAAAAAAATATGATTTTTTTTATGATATCTAATTTTCTAACAAAATGCGATCTAGTGCTCTACTATGTCCTCTATCCGTCGCTGCTCTGGGAAGCTGTTGGATGCTAGCTTTTGTTGATTTTCTCTTCCAGTTTCTTGATCGACCCTTGCTCCCATCTCAGGTCGTACATATATGCGGCACACTCTCATCATTAGCTTGTGTTTGTTTTTATCATGATCCAAATGGTAAATCAGCTTGTTTTTGGACTCGAAAGCTTCAAATTCAGATTCTAATTAATTAGATTCACATTTCGCGACGGGTGTGAACGCTAAAGGTCTCAAATATTAGTTGCCAATCAAAGTTCCGTCACAAGGATATTTCATGACCACTTGCGAATTGGTTTCTGCGACGAAAGATATTAGCTGTTTCGAAAAATATACCGTCACTAAAGGGTCGGAGCTTCAAAACTGATTTCATTCTGCACTTGCAGAGTACCTTTGCCCCGGTGGACGAACTGAAGGAAGCCGTTGGAGTGACGGCCGTAGAGGGTACGATTCGGGATGATTTCTCCGAGGGAGTTTATATCAATATAATTTTCAAACTCACTTATTTGATTTGTAGATAATATCGACATTGTTAAACAATGGGGATTTAACTAATTTAGTTAGCCTGTCGGGTTTGTAATCTATACGAACTTATCAGCTGGTTTGATATGTGTCTTGTTTGCTAGTCTATATTGTTGACGTGAATTACTCTATTTTCTAACTTAAATTTATACATGAACTCAACAAAACAACATTATACGAAAATTATACATGTGGTGTCGATAACACGCACGTATGCTTTAGACAACATAACTCTGGTTCTGATCCCTTCAACAATAGGTCAATGCTCTTGCTCAGACCTTCCACAACTTAATCAAAATCCATATTAAAAATCGAAATAATGTGACGAGCAGACTAATCACTAGAAACAAACAGCAACCAGACTCTAAGAAGAAACAACACCACCATCAAGACTCAAACTCTTGCACCAATCTTGGTCATCACTAAACCAAATCCTTGCTCGCCCAAATCCAGATAACGTATGCTCTAGACAACAGAACAGGTCGATGCTCTTGCTCCGGTCTTCTTCTTCTTCTTCTTCGAAATCCAGATGCAAAACCGAAGCGTGTCGAGCAGACTAATCACCAGAGACGACAGCAACCAGGCTCCCAGAAGAAACGCCACCACCACCGCGACTCGAACTCGCGCATCGTCCTTCGTCGGGGTCACCAACAACGCCCCAACCGCAAAGGCAGCCGTCATGCAGCCGAGGGCGGCGCACATGGCTTGCGCCATCATCCAGATGAAGAACCTTTTCCTCAGAGGGAACCCGCCGATGATGAGAAGCATGACGCACAGAGACGCGCCAAACGCCATCGTGTTGAGCCCCATGAAAACGTAGAGCACTTCCGGGTCTCTGTAAGCGTGGACCGAAGTCCCGGCCCTGCACAGGCCGCTGGTCGTGTTCTGGCAGCCGAAGCCGCCGTCGGGGCTCATCACGTTCTCTTGCCACACGCCGCCTGGCGGGTTGGTTGCGGCCTGGAAGCTCATCTGCGCCATGAGGCCGGCCACGACGAGGAGCGATCCTTTCATGTCGTCGATCCACTTGCGGTCGTAGTCGAGGAAGTTCTTGAACCGTTGGCCCATCGACTTCGTTGCTGGTCTGCCCATGTTGGTTGCTAATGGTGATGAGGAAGATATTGGTAACGAAGGAATTTTTGGTGGTGGTGGTGGTGGAAGATGATGATGATCGGTGCTGCTAGTCATGATCTCCTTGGCTCGTTTACCTCCTGCTTCGACCAGAAGGTCTCGGATTCGTAGGCTCTTGAAGTCCTTGGGACATAGCTCCAGGCAGTCCAAGGCTGTCGAGCCAAACCCGTTCAAGGAATTCACTGCTGCTCCCACGCTAGGTAGTGAAACCAGGTAACTTGTGGTCTGAAATTAAACATGGAATTTGACGTGTTAGACTGAATTCTAAGTAGCCAAATGAATGGTTAATACGTACTTATAGGGCTGGCTATAAAAACTGGCCCTAGAGATATCCACCGTACCAGGTCCAGTCTGATTCGACCTTGATATGGTCGGGTTGAGTCAATTTGTCTGTGAGGTCAGTTTAGCGTTGAATTATCTTTTGATCATGTAAGGATTGGGTCGTGTCACTTGTTGATCAAATGACCCATATAAAAAAACGAATAATATGAAATTCCCCATATTACATTGGACATGTTTGTAAAGTTTTAAGAGTTTAGATACTATAATACAACGTAGTAAATGACAAAGCGTCAATTTGATTGATTTGAGCTGGTCCATTAACTCAGATCGTTCCAATCTGATTGTATTTAGAAAGAATCAGTACCTGAACTTGCTTGAACATGGCAGCTGAATGCAAAATGGTGTTCCCATCTCCATCTCCCGACCTGAAGATGGATTCAATCACATCCTTCTTCCCGCCGCTACTCACCATCATCTCAACCAACACCTTCAGGGCCTCCAGATGGCCGCACTTCACGCACAGGTGCAGAACAGTCTCTCCATCGTCCAGCTTCACAAGCACAGACTCCGGCCTCGCACCGACAAGCTCTCTGACGACGTCGCTCCTGCCTCTCATCGTCGCCAAGTGGAGAGGAATCCTGCCGTCCACGTCGCGGACCAGGCAGGCATCCGAGCCCACACCGCCCAGCAAGGCCCCGACGATCTCGCAGTGGCCGGCGGCGGAAGCCAGGTGAAGCGGGGTGCAGTTGGACGCGTCGACCTCCATGGCCATTCCAGGGTCGTGGCGGAGAAGCGCTCTAGTGAAGTCGAGGTGGCCGGCGAGGACGGAGATGTGGAGAGGGGTTTCCGTGAAGGAAGAGAGCGGGAGTCTCTTCAGGATCAAATTGTCCCTCCGGAGCATCTCCTTGTGTTGGGAAATCAGAATTCAGTGAAAATTATCGTGTTATATTACTGAAATCACGTAAAACTTAAACATAGAATACAATGACTATCTCCTACAACATAACATAAACAATCTCGTAAAGTATAACATATTACTTCTTCGTACTATCCATACTCTAATTAATACCTGAAGGGTTTCGGTGTCGCCTCTCATTGCTGCATCGTAAAGGGCCGACGGATCGACTTTGTTGGTCTTGTTGATCTCCATTTTTGGTCCTTGTTAATGGTGGGTGGCTCTCTAGCTAGACACTGCTTGGTCTTTATATAGTGCAGCTTTTTGAGTAGTTTGTTATATTTGACGACCAAAAGACAGTCCCAAGTCCCAACCCGTGGGTTTTGGAAACCGGCCGCCGGCGCCGCCTAGTGGTAAGAGAGGCAACTTGTTCCGTCATGTGGGATACAAACAAACAAAACAGGAAACATATTGGAAGCAGCAGCAGCCAATGGAATGATATTGACCGATTGTGGGGGGGAAGAAAAAATGTAACCCCGCCGCCGCCACCATGAAATCCACCAATAGTCACAATGATACTGTCATACTGGTAAGCGAGCGCAAAATTATTACCGTTTGAAGTTTTGACTTATAGATGTAGATCGATGGGACGTTCTGGCGATTTTGGAGGGGGGCTAGATTGCTGGGCTCAGCAGCGATCCAGGTGGATTGCTTTGGTTAGCCGCGATTTGTGTTGGTGCGAGGCTGGTTCGTTTTTGTCGTTCGCCACCCAAATTGTTTCGCATTATACTCCAGCGAACCGTGCCAAACCTGTATATTTTGATAATTTTGGTATTAAGTATTGTATATTGGAAATAATTATTAGAAGTCTTGGACATTGAGAAAAAAATTGCTAGTTGATCAAGTGGGCGTAAATAGAACAAAAAGAGAAGACAAGTCCGAACCCGCAGTAGGCATATTGTGGAAAAGTCCAAGCAGCTAAGGAATTTCCACAGGAATTTCCAAGACAAGAAACTTCCGACGACCATCACTGACTCACTGTCCATAAGTCTTCGTCAAAAGGCGATATTATCCACAGTCTGACTCATATACATTGGTTGATTTCCAGAAGTTTGGGCTCGTTGGTAAATGGATATTGGCAACAACAGGTCCAACGTAATCGGCCCATAAACAAGTGAATGTTAGGTATGGGCTTGCTAATTGAGTGACTGCTCACGTTCTCCTCCTTTCATGGGCTTTTGTAACTTCTTGAATAAAAACAAACTAGTTTTTTAGCCCGTGCTCCGCAACGGGTATCTATTACGTTAATACGTTGGAAGTTTTAACGTGTTAACAATCTTTTAATCCAAGTACTCACACTGAAAAACGTGTGCGCCAATATTATGAATAACTGAAGTAATTACTTCGAACAAAATAACAATATCATAATCTAAATGTTCAAAAGGTAGTGTTTGTGCTTTGAGGGAAAGAGAAACCAAAATCTCTATATACAAATACAATTATAAAATAGAGTTAAAATTGTTCTTAGCATGGCGGTAACTTGTTCTCCATGATTGACAATGAAGTTCCTTTTCCTGACAGCTTGAACATCTGAAAACACAGACGCATGGAGGTACAATACGAATTGCTTGTTGGTGATCTAGAGAGAAAATGAATTATTCAAAATCAATAGTTAGTTAAGAGCATGTGAAGAATAAGGGAAAATATATTTATTGATGAATTAAATTATATAATTTTATCCTTAAACAATACGGTTGTAGTCCATTAAGATAATATGAATCGCCAATAATATTGGATTGTCATTAATGTGAAAAAAATTTCTTACTTTATGATGAATATTTTCAGCTGAATAGTAGTGTTATTTCGCACTTTATATAAAGTATTTCACCACCAAATTAACCTTGTATCCTCAATTTATTCTCAAGTTGGTTCCTTCACACAATTTGTTTGGAGTCTCGACTTAACGATTGAATTATTCATTTTTCAAATGGATGCATCAACTCTTTCTAATTAGCAAATGTAACAGTTCTCGCAAATCATTAAATCATTAATCAGTTCTTGATGGGTTTGTCGGTGTTTATAGTCTTCATTTTCTTATTAAGAATTAAAAGCTACACATATTGTTAATATTAAACATTTCAAATCACAATCCTAATCGTACTTAGTAGACGAAGAGTGATATGTGCTAAATGCCAGTGTCTTGTTTCTTGCCATGAAATCTGAAAGCATCCATATTGATATTCCAGATCCTGCTCAATTATAGAACTGGCATCTACCTTACCCAAAAACCATAAATACACTGATTGAAAGAATCATGAAAAGGTGTTTATTCTTGTTATAGTTCTGCTAACATGAATTACTCATAAATATGTATTGATAATGAACGGTTGCAACCATCAGAATACCCATGATACATTATGCGTAAAGGCTAAAGCATGTTCATTATCAATTTACATTGAGTGAATGAGCGGCAATTTAAGCAACAAAGCCACTATTGAATACCTAACGGGAAATAAAAACCAAATGACACCCTTCTAAGGTCTTTTGGGTTATAATGAGAAAATTATCCAACGGTCAGTAAAGCACTACCATTTGTCCATCATTTTACTTGTGAAAAAAATCATCATTTTTATAATATAAATGTAATTTTATTTAATTAACACAAAATAAACATTAAAGACAAATCTGCAATTCTGGAAAAACGGCAACAAAGATAGAACGGTAGCAAAGAGCAAAGAACCTAAAAACAACATCGAAGGAGCCAAACATGCATACAACAACAATCCTTTGTACATCATACTCTCATAATCTTGCCAGCTTAACTGTTTCTCTATTCAGCTTGGTAGAACGCTGACAGAAAAATGCATGCTAAATTGTTATACATACTTGTTTTAAAACTCTGGTTCATGATCATCCCTTAAATAGACAAACCAAAGTTTCATAACAAATTACCATTGTGAAATGAGAAACATGTATTCACAAAAGCAACAACCGAGCCCTCTGGTTTGATCACGTCAACACTTTGACATGTTACTGCCTAACTGCTAACACTTATAGATAGCGGCTGGCAGGACAACTGAAAATATAACAAATAAATGAAACTTTTCTATAAATAAGAAACCAAATGTATAAGAAACACATAAACCCCAAGCTTAGCAGAGCAAGTGAAACTTTTCTATATCAAGATGATGGTTAATGTGTTCCTCTAGTCTCTACTTAGGTTAGAACCATAACAGTCGACAAAATCTTGATTAGTGATGGGATAATCATCATTGTCACTCACAAAACCTTGATATATAATTCCAATATATTAATCAACCAGCATATACAACCAATACCAAGAGCCAAATATAGTGAACTGGATC